CGTAGAAGGCCACTAGGTTGGTCTGACAGGACCTGCCTCGAATGAACCCATGTTGATTGCCCCTAAGCATGATCTCCCCTGCTGGCCTCTCACAGATGTGCTCCTGGATAATTTTCTCAAAGAGCTTCCCTAGGACTGAGGTAAGACTAACGCAGGCCTGTAGTTTCCTGGGTCCTCCTTCCTCCCTTTTTTGAAAATGGGGACCACATTGGCCCTTTTCCAGTCCTCATAAAGCCATGCCAGGCATCTCGCAATGACCTCTGCTAATTCCCTCAGCTCTCTGGGGTGGAGATCATCAGGACCTGCTGACTTGAACACGTCTAGACCCACCAGAAGTTCCCTGACTAGGTCCTCACTGACCCTGGGCCTGGCAGCGCCTCCCCTGGTCCATCAGGGATCCCAGTGAGGGGGGTGCCCCGGTCCCTGCTCAGAAAGATGGAGGCAAAGAAATTGTTAAAGAGGTTAGCTTTGTCATCTGGTGTGACCACCACCTTTCCTAGCGTATCCTGCAGAGGCCCTCCGTTACCCGGTACCTTCTTTTTACCCCCTATGTATTTAAAAAAGGACTTCTTGTTATCCTTGATCGATGTCGCTAGTCCCAGTTCCATCTCTGCCTTAGCCTTCCTAACAGCTCCCCTACAATCTCGAGCAATGGAGGTATAATCCTCCTTGGTGATGGCCCCTCCCTTCCATTGGGTGTACGTCTCCTTTTTAGCTTTGAGATCCAAATCTAGTAGGATAAAAATGAGCTCTTAATTAGAATGAAGGATTGCTATTAACTTTAGAATAACATTGAGAATATCCCAAAGCAAAGTTCAGAGGAATTAATCTTGTAATTTTGCAGTATACTCTCTAAACTCTCTTTTTGTTGTTGTTTTTGGCTTTTCAAGTTCGAAGTTCATTACTTGCTGATGAAGTACCTGTGGCATTTTTTTTGTCCACTGCAGAAGTAACTTACTGATGTTTTCTCTCTGAAAGGAAAAAATAGTGCCCCATACAAGATTTCTTCATTTAGTTTTCAAAGGCCGCTTTCTGTAATGGGCTAAATGCCGGACCGAATCCTTTATTTTATTTAAGAGAAAGAGCTCCAGCAGTTCCTTTGCAGTAGAAGCCATATCTTTTCAGATGCAAGATTGCTAAATTGAAGTGTCAGCAGAAGGCCTTAAGGGAAATACACTGTAGAAGAACGGAGCTATAGAATCCTAACCTGATGACCGTGACATGAGATACCACTTTAACAAGACTTCAGCTGCTAGAAAAATTCAAAGTTGTTTTTAAGTAGTTTAGGGGAATGATTTTCCTTCCTCAGAATCTAGATCATTTTTCCAAAAAAACTTCCAAAACACCATGACTTGTTGAGGGGCCTGTTTTTCCCTTCTACTGTACATGTACCGTTTGGAGCTAGAAATCCCAGATCCTGCTGTGATATGTTGAAGTGAAATAGGAATGTTATCCCAATAAAATATCTAAGAGCAGTGTTTGCCACTGGCTCTCAAAAACTACATGCCATAGGCAGTCATGAGCAATCAAATGCATAGGGAAATGATACAATGCTGTGCTTTTAGTAGCATTACTCTGCCACTTGCATGTAAAGGATATCTACATGGAGTGTTAACTGGGCAATGAGAAATAAGCCTGCTGTATAAAAATACCTGCAAAGCACTCTCAGCTGCCTCTTAAGATTGGCCTTTACTATTCATGGGAAAGAATAGCTGCCTTTATCTTTTTAGGCTGTACATCGAGAATAAAGAAACTAGTGCGTCTGTGTGAAAAGATTTCCTTACTGTCCAGTGTGTGGAAGCCTGTCACTGCCTCTGACAACTGGACCTGATGCTAGCTATTGGGTGCCAGGTGCAAGGGTAGCTGTGATTTTTTCTGCTGAACTTGCTGATTATGAATAGTTCCTTGTCCATTAAACAATCCCACTTCAGAATGCGTTTCCATGTGAGCATCTCTTTTTTGGTGTCTCACACAAAATATGCAGTAATTCTTAGTTGTTTTTTTCCAGTTATTTTCCAGCTTCAGTGTAGCTATACAAAGCCTTGAATTAAATGTTTTTCTAGAAAGCTTCATGATCTCAGTAAAAAACCTTTATAAGGCTAAAGTTATAGAAAACAAGTTTTCAAGAGAATGTTCCATCAGTTGCAGACAAAATCTGCTCTCTGGCTGAGGCTGAACGGATTGTGCAAACTGAACTGTATAATTGAAATAAAAAGTTCTGTTTTGTTTTATGTTTAAGATCTATATACTGTAAAACTTACATGGGATTTAGATTGTGTTTTTTTTTTCTCTTTTATCCACTAGCCTGTTTTTGTTGGGCCAGATAAAAATGTGAGTTTAATTTTTATGCAGATATATTGCATTCCCTGATGCCACTGCCCTATTTAGTGCCTCTGATGCATGCCATGACCAGAAGGCCCCAAGTGAGATATAACAGCTATTTCTTTTTTGCCTACATGAAAGAAAGGGAGAAGATTAATGGCCTTTTTTCCCCTATTTCCCTAATCTTTTTTTGTTTAATCAGTTGAGGCCTCTGTTCCTTTAGCTGTATTTCATTTATCTACTTC